AAAATAGTTCCATTAGAAAGAGCTCATCGAGTTACCCTTTGTGTGTAAAAGTCTCATTGATTCAGTGTTGTAAAGTAAACATTGCATATGACAATTGGATCCCAATCGCGGGTGGTATTCATCGATCAACTATTTAAAAAGATTCTTATCTCCGAAATCTTCTTATATATTCTGATAGAGAAAAACATTCTGCATCGAATGAACGTAATATCAATGAATGACACACGAACATTAATGCTTTTTTAGGCCAAAAACTGATTTTTTGTCTTTCATATATGTCGAAGATATCCATTATTACTCGACCAATATAGGAAAAAAATGAGATATTCGTGATCAGTATACTTTATTCTATCGATTTATAAAGACCATGAATGAAAAAAGACAAAAGAAATTTTCGAATACCTGGGGAGTCCTCAGTCTCACAAAAAATTGATTTTTCATGAAGTATAAAATAAAGTTGTGGAAAACTATCACAGTTGATCAGAATATTAAAATTGATACCAGTTTTTGTCTTATATAGAACCATACACCAATTTCGATAGATGCATCATTATTAGGGATATTAACTGTACGATCCCAGCTATGGCCCAAAAAGCTCTAGATAGCACCCTAAGTACGACCCAAAAAGTTTTAGGTACCACCCTCAGGTAGAGCCCAACAAGTTCTAGGAACCATCCCCAGATACGGGGAAAAAAGCTGTTGGGAGCTGTGTAAAATAGATTGTGAAGAGTATTCAATGAGTTCGTAGAACTAATCCGTTGAATCAGATCTTCCACACAAAGGATCTGAACTTATGATCTGCAATTTTGGGGTTCTAGTCAATATCAATACCAGTCAATACCAATACCTTAATACCGTACTGGTATGTGCCCACCCTAGCTAAAGTACAGCGGAGTACAGGTGGAACATAGCTGAAGTACAGGTGAAGTGCGAGTGAACTACGCGCTCCTGAAGTTTCGCTCTTTTCCCCTTGGAGTACATGCGAGTACAAGGGGAGTACGACGGAGTACATGGGAGTACAAGAAAGTACAAGGGAGTACAAGGGGAGTACGAGGGGAGCACGAGCGAAGTACGAGGAAATACAAGGGGAGTACAATGTAGTACACGGGGAGTACAAGGGAAGTACGAAGGGAGTACGGGAGTCTCGCTTTTTCCCTCTTGGTAATAAAACAATTTTTGGTA